TCGGCGGATAATAAGGACCCAAAAAGGGACCCATAATTTTGACAGCCACCCATATAAGGGTACCTTAGTTTGGGGGTCCTTATAATAAGGATCCTACTATTTCGGGTACTATACTAGGGTCCCCTATTTTCTGAAACTCCCATATAAAAAAAGGGACCCTCAAAAGTCCCGAACCAAAGCCCTCGCCTCAAAAGGTCCGGCCGGAGAGCAGCGGCAGCCTCCGGCCTTCGGGGAGCCTAAACCCTTCCAGCAGTCCTCCGTCCGAAGCCAGAAGCCCTAAACCCTCAAGGGTTTAGGGTTTGGGGTCTTGGGGTTTAGGGTTTAGGCTTTGGGGTTTTGGGTTTTGGGTTTAGGGTTTGGGGTTTGGGGTTTGGGGTTTGGGGCAATGTCAGGGCCTTGGTGTTCGGGTTTTGGCTTTAGGGACTTTAGGGTGCCCTAAACAATCCACTGAAGGCATAATCCCTTCAGTGAAGAGGTTGAGGCTTTCGGGAGTTTTGGGGTTTCGGCTTGGAGTTGCCGGGTTCTTGTTAAGGAGTGTAGTTCAGTTACCACTCTAGGGACACCTGATTATTTACTATAGATCCCCTATTATGGTAGCTTTAAGTAAGTTCCTTCACATGCACCCAGGTTGGAGTAGTTCAGGCTTCAGGGGCTTGGGAGTCATGTAGACCCCGGATTTGTAGCCCCCTCGCCCCCACACCCCCAAATGGAGCACAGAAGGATCCTCATACAGCAACGCCGAGGCCCAAAACCCAAAACCCCAAACCATGAACCCTAAGTTTTATCGGTCTAGGAAGCATGGCAACAGCATCCCTGACGACTCCCTCAGCAGGTCTGAAGTGATTTTGGCTTTTGGAATTTGGGGCTTCGGGTTTAGGCGGTTTAGGGCCTAGGGTCTGGGGTGCAGGGTCTAGGAGTCTAGGATTGGATCTTCGGGGTAGGCTGGGGTTTAGGGTTTCTCGGAGGCGCTGAAAGCTACCCACACACTGATATCATAGCCACGTAGCTCCCACCTGACATCCTCAGACCTACAGCTCTTTGGCGGGGGCCTTAACCCAAATCCGAAACGCTCTAAACCGAGGTTTGACACCCTCGGGCAGCTTGAAGCCGTCGGGCAGTTTGAAGCGCTCGGGCAGCTTGAAACCCTCCGGCAGCTTGAAGCCCTCCGGCAGCTTGAAGCCTTCGAACAGTCTCAAGCCGTCCGAGAGCATCACACCGCCCCTTGGCATAATGCAACTAAGGGCCTGCATAGGACTTGGAATGTGGATTTGGGGCATCCGATATAGTTCACTATTGATAGGGTAAGCAGGGTATGCTGCTACTTACTCAGGCCCCTGTTTATAGTTTCAGGCTCTAGGCTTGTCTGCCTTTCCGGGTGCAAGGGCTTTGCTTGAGGCTGGGTTTGGGGGGTGAAGAAGCTGACGGACCTGTTTCTGGTGCCTCACTCGAAGAAGAAACCACAACCAATTGGTTAAAACTTCAGCTCACGCAACAGTGATGTAGCAATACCGCACGCTCAATACTTCAAACAACCCGACGGTTCTCAGGCTCCACCTTATCATGTTCGCACGCCTTGAAAGCCCCGATTCCTCAAAGCCCATAGCCCTAAACCCCTACATTCCTAAATCCTGTACCTTGAAGCCTCCCTAAACCCTAAATCCGAACCCAACCTGCGTCTTCTCCCTAGGTTTTCTCTCATGCCTTTTTAGAACCCAAGCTAAAATTTTATGATGTTTGGGTTGGGGAAGAGTGACCTAATGTAGGGGCCTTGATAATTAGAATTGGGTTTTGGTGTATATTCGATTATGGACCCCCAAAACAATTGTAGGAAATTATTAAGACCCCTATGTCACACCCCGAAGATGGGGAGGGTTTAAGCTTTAGGGTCCAGGAGAGATCCTACTTGGAACGCTTAAAAAACCGTGTAGAACTGGGAAATGGGAGTTTCCGCAAAACAAGGGATACCTTATTTCGGGGGTCCTTGTAACAAGGATCCTACTATGTAGGGTACTAGATTAGTGTCCCCTATTCTCGGAAACCCCCAAAATCTCTGCAGAGCCTTCATTTTGTCCTATTTCCAACCACTGCGCTCCGGACTTTCGGCTTCGAGCGTAGACTTTGCAGGTTTCAGAGTCCAGGGCTATAGAGTTAAGTAGGGCTGTTTAGGTTTTAGAGCGTATCGAGTCTGCTACCGCTTATACGTTTTCGGGCGTATGTGCCTACAGTTTCGAGTTTAACAGGTGTTTAGGTTTTCGAAAGTTTGGAGCCTAACTGAGAGCTTCTAGCACCGTAACCTCCCCAAAACTCTGAATTATGGCGAAAAAAGATAGAACCTACCCAAAAGAGGTAGGTTCTGGTAGTTCTACGGTATGGCTCATAGGCTTTCAGCTCCAGGATCCGACGTCCGCCCTTCGTAAGACTTGCAACATAAAAGCTGACAAGCTCCAGCGCTGCTTTAAGGGTTCCCTTTTGAGGGTGTGTTTAAGAAGGCTTTCCCATAAGGGTTCTTTTTCAGAGTTCTATAAAATATCAAAGGTTCCTATAAGAGTTTCAGAGGATTCCTTGAAGGGCTCGAGAAAAGGGTTCCTTTCAGGGTCCGGTGTTGTAGGGAACCCTTTGACTTTACAGTCGCTCTATGCCCTAAACCCTAGACCCGCTGTACCCTAAGACGTAACACCGTGGCAATTAAATAAAAGGCTTAGGGCCTAGTGTCCAAGCAAGAGACCTCTTTGGTAATTACAGGAATGCAAACAAATAGGCACGAAGTAAACCAAACACTCTATACCGTCAACCCTTAAACCCTGAACCTTAAACCCTAAATCCTAAAATTGAAACCCGAAACCTGAAGAACAAAACGCGACATTTCAGGGCTTTGAGCAGCCCATCGAGGAGAAGCAGCCTTGCCAGCGCCGCTCACCCAAGAATCCCTAAGTTTGTTGTTAAGGTGTGCAGGGATCCTTTGAAGGGCTCTGTGAGGGTTCTAGGCAGGATCTATATTAAGGATTGGCGTTTAGGGTTTAGGGCATAGAGGGTGTCGGGTGCAGGGTTTGTAATGTAGAAGGTCTCTGAGCGGGTTCGAAAACAAGGCTTGAGAAAAGGGTCTAGAATATTCGAGGCTTCCTCAAGGGTTCCATAGTAAGGGTTCTATAGTAAGGGTTACTGTAGGAGTTCTAGAATATACAGCAGCACTAACGAGTAGACTAGGGTTTCGGAGTGTACTACAGTATCGTTCGAGGGCGTGTGCTTGAGCCTTAGTAGGGCTTCTTGTTAAGCATTGGGTTTGTGTTTCTGTGCCTACTTAGGCTCAGGTGGTTTGGGATGTTGGGGTTCAGGCTTAGACCTTCACAGGGGGTCGGTTTTTCGCAGCACGTACAGTAAGCAAGAACTATTGAAATTTACACCCTTCGAAGGGACACTGCCGTGAATTGTGTGTGCATATATATGTGTACAATGCAAATGCAGTTGTACATATATATATATATATGTATATAGCTTTCTTGTGTTTCAGTACTAGTTTCGTTTTCTGACGAGCTTAAGTCAAGAAAAACAAGGCTCCAAAATTCAAAGGCTAAAGCCCGAATCCACCAGAACCCCAAAGCCCTTGAAAGGAACACTCCAAGCGATGAAACCCAGGTGGTGCAAGCCCTCCGTCCTCAGGGGGCTGCAGCGGATGGTGAGGAGGTGACCTCCTAGTTGCACACTTTTGGGCGGCTTTAGGTCCAACTAAGATTCTTCGACGGTCTTATTGGCACAGTTAGGCTTCTATAGTGGTTCTACAACGGATCCGTTTGGGCTTTGCAGTTTTGTCAGGTGTCTATCCGGGTTTGTAGGCAGGAGCTCCTGGGGTACTTGAAGGATCATGGGACTTAGTAATTAGGGTTATAAGTAGGGCAACTATACCTATAATTACTTAACCCCAATGAAGGTACTTAGAACCTTATACTTGCTAAGTCCCATGATCCTCCAAGTAAACCCTCAAAGCTTAAAGCATCTCAAAGCTAAGCACATGTGCACACACTCACGCAGACAGACTGACGCACAGACACACAGACACGGACACACACACACACAGGCAGGCAGACGCAGAGACACAAAAGCTTGAATACGCCATCAAGCACAGTTTGTGGAGGATTGCCCGAACACCAAACCCTAGACCCCTCAAACCTTAACCCTAAATCCTAGCTTGAAGAAACACTTTTTGCAGCATTCCCTCACGAGAGAGAACTGTTGATTTCCAGGCTTTCCAAGTATCTCCCTAAACCCTAAGACCCTCGACTCTGGATTTCAAGACTTTTGATTACAAGGCTTTGGGTTTAGGGTTCCCCCCCCTTACACCCTAAGCCTTAAACCGTACATTAGGGTTTAGGGTTTCGCTAAACCCCAAAGCCCTAAACCCTAAACCCTCCAGGGCTTTTGATTTCAAGGCTTACAACTACCTGGCGGGTGAAGATCCCTCAACTTGGGTGCCTCGTCCATCAGGCCCGGTGCTGGGGGACGTGGGGCTTTGCGGCTTCATGTAGGGGCGTAGAGAAGTACCTACACTATCTTGGGGGGGTTCCGTATTATATGTATAGTACCATGGGCCCCAAAGCCTTATTCTAATTACTGAGGACCCTGCGGCTTAGGAGGTTCAGATTTCGACTCCGGGCTTTTGTTTTTACCGTTCTGGGCTTCGAAAAATGGAGGCGGGAGGAGGGGGGGTTGGGTTTAGGGTTGGGGGATTTTGGGAAAAAGTAAGCGTTTGTGGTTTCAGGGCTAAGGGTCTAGATGGCTAGAAGCTTCAGGGGAGCTGGGTCTCTAGCACGTTGGGCGTTGTCTTGCCGCTTTGGCTGAGGAGACGAGGAGACTGTTAGATTCTATATGGCTTCTGCAAGGCTTCTATAGAGTCTTACCCCGAAACCTTAGTCCGCAAACCCTAAACCCTAAGTCTGCAACTTCTAAGCGGGTAGCACGCTGAGTTCAAACAAGACCTGAGGCGAAGCAAGCCCGGGCTCTGGGTTCAGGGGGTCGGAATAGCTAGTGATGGGTTTAGGGTTTATGGGTGGTATGACTTTTGGTCATGGTCTCGATGTAACTCTTCTGCGAAACCCTATCCTAATCATTCAGGCCGCTTTGTGAGAACCCACTTATGCTAACCTTGTATATAGAATCCATGAGGAACCTACTTTTGTGTATGTAGCCTAACCCTGCAAAGCAATCCTTTTCATGTTTCCCGAAGCCCTACACCCTAAGCTTCTAAACCTATACCCCTTCATCCCAAAAAACTATAACCCTAAACCCTAACCTTCTTATAGAAGCCTTAATAGGTCCTCTACATTACAGACCCTATATCCCTAACCCTAAACCCTACACCCTAAACCCTAAACCCCTAAACTCTACACCCTATTCCTACACCCTAACCCCCTAAACCCTAAACCCCTGAACCCTAAATCCTACACCCTAAACCCCTAAACCCTAAACCTCTAAACCTTAAACCCCTACACCCTAACCCTCTAAACCCTAACCCTCTAAACCCCTGAACCCTACACCGTAAACCCAAAACCCGTAAACCCTAACTCCTGGTGACAGGCAGCGGGAAGTTCGAGCGGAAGGCTTCCCGGCTCTCAGGCGGCCCCGGGGTCCCTTAAGGCTTTGAGGCCCCAGGTGCCCACATTTCAGGGTTGAGGGTGTAGGGTGTAGGGCTTGGGGTTTAGGGTTTAGGGTGCAGAGTTTAGGGTGTAGGGGATTACATATAGTATATTCTTTGAAGGCTTCAGAATATTCGTCCCCTTCCTAACACAGAAGGCAGTCATGTAGGAGTTTGGTTCAGAGAAAAATGTGTTTCGGGATTAGGAGTTTGGGGCTTAGGGTTTAGGGGTGACGAAAAAAGGGATTAGTGTTTCGGGATTAGGGGTTTGGGGCTTGGGGTTTAGGGGTGACGAAAAATGTTAGCTATTGAATCTAAGGGTGGCTTCGTCTTCCGCTCGGGGTTCTCAGCGCTGTGAAGCTCCGTGTGGTCCGGGGAATGCCAGAGTGACCCTTCCCCATCCGATCGCGCCGTAGGGATTCTATGGGGCTTCAGGCGTCTAGGGGTTTTCAGTGGTTCAGGAGCCCTAAGGCCCTAAGCTAACAAGCCCTATACTTTCCTTCAGGAGATCCTGATGCCAAGCCTGAGCGCCGAGACTCGCGGCTGCTCTCAGGCCAGGGTGTTTAGGCTTTAGGGCTAAAGGGCTGAGGG